TAAGTAGGGGTGTTCATAACTAGAGGTACCACTGTATATTTTTATATTTCAGATTTGAGTATCAGCTTTATCAATTAGGAAGTGTTCAAAGTAGCTCACCTTAAAAGTATAATATTAGAAAATAGAGAATTAACACTAGATATTAAGGTTGCATGCACTTTGAAAATTATTTAGAAGAAGTGTTTGGATCTGGCATGAATTCAGCATGAGTACAGTCTCTGCTTTCATTAAAACAGCCTGTCTTTCTTCAGGCTTTTACACAAGCCTGAAAATAAATTACATCTGTTTTAAAGAGCCAACTCTCTAAAGTTAATTCAACTTTTTTTAGGCTCATGCAATAGACAGAAAAGAGACAAGCTGCTTTCATGAACAGTAGAAAAATACTGTGTTTGTATGAGGTCCAAAAAACTTTTTCCAAATCTTTTTTCAGATCTCTCTCTCCCTCCCTTTCTGAATGATACATCAAGGAATTGTGGTTGATGATAATAATCTATTTTCAAATGTCCAAGTGACAGGTTAATTAGCTTCCAGAGTGGTTAGACATGAACAACTTGCAATCTGGAATACATTTGAAAGTCAGGATCCTAAATTCTGTTGTTATATTCACTTAATACAAGAAGAGAATGGAATCCAGGCTTTGCCATCAGCATGATGGTCCTCCAAACAGAATAAGCACAGATGAAAACGTTGTCTTTGCAAGATTCCAGCTACACAGAGAACCGTGACCCTGATGTATCCCACTTAAATGCATATAGATTCTGTTCAGTTTTTCAGCTGTACATGTAAGGATAGTAGATGCTATCCAGATCCAGATACCAGATAATGGCAAACCTCCTTTAGAAGATCATATCCATTCATTGCTTTGTCAAAGTCTCAGCAGAAATGTAAAATATCCAAAATAGGCTTGCCAGTATTTTTGTCACTGCACCAATAGAAAATGAGAATTCTCTTCAGAAAGTTTTGTTTTAATCCATGTTCTTGTAAATACTGTATTTCATACTGGATGTGAACCATTGCAGCAACGTGCTTTGTTTTATTGTTGTTTCCCAGAATTCATTTCCCATTCCTTTTCCCTCATGGAACTGAAGTTTCTCTACCAGGAATTACTGCCTGACCTGACAGGGAAGGTTCTGGTCGACGTGGGCTCCAGGCTTGGAGCAGTTCTGTTTGGGGTAAAAGCTGGACCAGAAATTGGTTAATGATTTCTATGTTTTCCCCCACTCCCCTTTTGTTGGTAGTTATTCTTCTATGCTTTGTATTGTTGTTGTTTAAGCAAGTTTCTGGTTGGCTACTTTTTGAATCTTAATTTGTTATTGATTTGCTATTTTTCTTTACTGATTTTGTTTGCTTCTTCCATATTTTGTTATTTTTGTCATTTGATTACTGACATTACTCATCTTGAGTATAGTTTTTGGAATGTAAAAGCTGGGGCATAAATCCCTTATTAAATGAACAAACACATTAGGGTCATAGTATAATTAAAGACACGAGTAACATCAGAAATAACAGGCTGTAGCCATCAAGCTCTAGCCTTGAAAAGGAAGGATGCTGGTATTATCACTTGCATGCCTTTGGAATTAACTAATCTCTTGTGGAAAGGTAATATTCCCTGCTTTTGGCTTAACAAACTATTTTTAACAAGTAGGTGCGGAATCAGCCTTCACAAAATTCATTCTAAAATAGAAAGTGTAATTATTACTTACATTGTTCAAAAGTTATAACCTTTTACATGTTGAAATGGAAGACAGACATGTGAAAAACATCATTTATTTTTAAAACAGATACTTTAATCATAATCTTGAATTCCATTACAGATATGGCAACTTGCCAGGTTTTATTTGCAGAGACTGGTTTAAAAGTAAAGTCTCCTTCAAGCTGAGCTTGATTTCTCCTGACTTCCTAGACACATTCATGCAGTTTTCCTGGCAGCAGCAGAGAAGTGGCTTGCAATTGCCCCCTTCTGGGATGGCTCTCCCTCCCCTGCCAATTTTCCAGTCTAGCATACAGCCCTGCTATTCCTTGGAGCCTCATCCCCACCCCAGGACTAACTCTGCTTAGCTTTTGACAAGGCCAGCCGAGTGCCTCTACAGTACTTGCTGGCACAAGTCAGGGTTTAGAGGCATCTTATTAGTATATTTTATTGCACAAGTTTGGGAATTTTAAAATGGTGTTTTTGCTTTTCTGTTCTCCAACTTATAAGACATTCCTGTTTGCCACTATTTAAAAATTAGAATCTGAGAGTTCCCAGGTAAGTATACAGAGCAGGGATAGGCAACCTGCAGTTCAGACCCTGAGATCTCTTTTCCTGGGCCTCAGAGCTTCTTCTGACTACAATTGCTGAAAACATGGTGCCCTTTTCCATCATGTTAAGATAGGAAGCAGGTGAAAATGCAGTGGAAGGCCTAAGATAGGGATATCACCATTAAACAAAGGGAAACCTGCAACACTCCCTCGTCCAATCTAGCTCTATCCACATAGCCCTCTCCCCCAAATGTTAACTATGGCCCCTGTTCACCAAGTGGTTCCCCATTCTGATGTAGCTGATGTACTAAATGTGCTTTGGAGTCCTTGGGGTTCTCTGAGCTTGGTTGTTTTCTTGCAAACATTTCATTACCCGGCTAGGTAACATCTTCAGTG